GCAGCTCTGGGGGCAGCTCTGGGGTAGTTCTGGGGGCAGCTCAGGGGCAGCTCTGGGGCAGCAGGCAGCACCAGGCTGTGCTTGGAGCATTTGGGCTCTAATTGGAGCGTTTGGAGGAACATCAACCTGCAGCACCAGCACTATTTTTGTGCTTCTGAAGGTTTGAGCCTTCAGATTAATTCTTTGCAGTTCAATTGATCCCCACTAATTCCATCCTCCAGATTTTTTTGTGCCTACAGAATTTACAGTGTGTCTACACTGTTCGACCTTTTAACCCAATACTGAAATTTACACCTTATTCAGCATTGAGCCTACTCTCTGCTAGAATTATCAGATAAATCTGTATTTTGCTCCAGCCACAGAACCACTGGCACAGCAACCAGCTCCCAAAGCAGCAGCTTCTACCCGCTGGTGACTGACATCAGCTCAGTACCCAAGTACCACCAATCCCTCCAACCACGCACACATGTAACATTATGAAGAAATCATCAAAATTCCACACTGTGACAAACCAGGTTTCAGAGGAACAAAAAATGGGGCAGGGGGAGCCCTTCCCATCCCTACTCCACAGCACTGAGGAAACTGAAAAGAGAAAACGGAACCAAAAGGAACCACCTCACATCACTTCTGCATAAAAAGCTGACCCTAAAAAGAAATGAGGGATTTTCTGGTGTGTGTTCTATTTTTAAAGACGTGGGTTTGGTACAGACACCCACAACGGAGCTGAAACTCTTATTCACTGTCAAACCTCATCTGCAGAGCCAGAGGTGAAGTGAAACTGTGGGACACGACGTTGTCCTTTCACCCACGCACACGGGGGGATCTACACTGCTGCTCTTTGAACTCAGTGGTCGCTTTCCAGGGCTCAGTCTCATTTATCTGCACTAAAAATACTGACGAGACCAAGAGAGAGGTGTGGAAAGAATTTCCTTGGCTTAACCAAGAACACAGAGCATACTGATGATCCATCTCCTCCACCACCGTGGTGACACCGCCGGGCAGAGTGTCCCCTGCCCCTCGCCCCTCTCCGCCTGGCACAGCCCCGGCACAACCGGGACCGACACCTCTTCTCGGCCCCTTTCCGCGTCTCGCCCTCCCCGACCCCCTCGGCCCGCGGGGGTTGTGCTGCACCTGTGACAGCCGAGGGGAGCCTGGCCCTGGCCAGAGCCCGAGCGACAAGAAAACAGGGAATGACGGGGAAATGAAGCTCAGCTGTTGCCCTAAGGGCGATCGGACAGTGGGGCGGGCTAAAGCGGGCTGCGGAGCAGAGCCGGACMCGACTCCGGGCAGGTGGAGCCAGGCCGCCCCTTTCCCCATCCGTAGCG